TTTTTCATATTTTACTATGACCAAAATAGTACAATGTTACCATAGTAACACTGTACTACTTTGGGGAAGTGATCAGTATTTTTTTTTTTACACAATTTGCTTATAGCAAAGAATTACTTTGCTATAAGCAAGCATTTACCTGAATGAAATCGATTCATTCAGCTTTTTTTTTTTTTTTTTTTTTTTTTTTTTTTGTGCTTAGCTGTGATTTGGTCACAGCTAATCACATGACATGTGCATGTGATTAGCTGTGACCATTCACAGCTAGGCACTAGTATACAATGGATGGCATCATGAATGAAGCCATCCATTGTATACCACTGTCATGTGACCTGCTGTGATTGGTCACAGCAGGTCACATGGTACCGGCAACGGGAGCCGGTACTCGGATCTGTCATCGGCCGTGTCCGAGGTGCACGGGCGGTGACAGATCGCACTGCTGCGTCGCTCTGCAACCGTGCAAACCGCGCATGTGCGGGAGCACGCCAAATGGCGTGCACCCGGAAAGCTGCAGCGCTTTTCAAGCCGCCAAACGGCCATTGGCCGGGCGGCTAATGGTTAAAGCTTCTTATGGGGCTGGTGTCTTCCTTCGTTAGCCATAGGATGGTAGGTTTTAATACAACTCCTACACAATAACAATGAAGCCGCACAATCCAGACATTAGGCTGCATCTTTATCATCTATATAAATATTAAAAAATGAACAGCTAAAAGGGAAAGGAGATTTTTTTTGGCAGAAAACACATACACGGTCTCTTCTATGGAAAAACTGCCCACTAGCAGTATCTTAATCAAACAGAACAGGACTAGTATTCATAGACCATGGAATATATGCGGCTACCTCCAGGTAATCGGACACCTGGCAAAAAACTAGGCCCATAGAGCATGCCTATATAACATCAGTTTCTTGCTAGCGTCTTTAGGTGATGAACCTGTTCTCCTCTGGAGAAGTATTTTTTATTTTTTTAAACCATTAAAGTTTTTTCATCTGAATCTTCGATCAAGTTCTGACTACTTATGCTCTGCCTTGCACAACCTGGCAGTTTTTGTATCAGTTACCCTCAAAGTATACCTCAGGGACTACCTGGACCCCACTATGTAGGACTGGAATGTAATATTTGCTTTGGACACTGGATGCTACGTTAGGTGTTGACTTTGGCATGAAGTGCATAGTTTGAAGTTAGCTGCATGGTTCTGTACGGATCCAGAGCTGTGGAACATTTCTATGGTTTGCAGACCCTGAAGATCCCTTTGGAGGTGTGCCTATTGTTACAGGTGAAGCCTGGACTGTTATAGACCTAGTGTCATGGATAAGGTGACACAGGGTTTCTCTGACTGTAAACAACAATATCCAATCTTTCAAAGGAGATCCAATCCCTTGATCACCCAGTGCTTCTGTCCTCAAGTAAAGATATCCATGGCTCGATGGATATGCAATCCTGCCCTGGAATTAGGAAAGGCTTTCCTTCACAAGACTTGGAAAGTGGTAATGATAGATGTAAACAGGGTCATCGGTTCGAATCCCAACCATGGCACTACCAGCCTGGAGTCTGCATGTCCACACTCCAAAGACACGCTGGTAGGTTAACTGGCTCCTGTCTAAATTGGCCCTAGTATGTGTATGCATGAATGTGAGTTAGGGACCTTAGTTTGTAAGCTCCTTGAGGGCAAGGACTGATGCGAATGGACAATATATATGTAAAGTGCTGTGCAAATTGACGGTGCAATATAAGTAGCTGTAATAAATAAATAAATATAAGTCTTACTCGCCAAAAAAAAAGAAATGTCTAATACTCACACTGGCAGAAATGTACATTTCAGCTGTCTCAGCCCTTCATATTCTGGGAGTGTTATTTTATAATCCGTCAATGCCTAGACCCTGGCGAGTGGTCTTGGCACCCAGAAAAAGAATTAACCACTTGAAGACCAGGCCTTTTCAGATACTTTTTGTTTACATGTAATAATCAGTATTTTTTGCTAGAAAATTACTTAGAGTCCCTGAACATTATATATTTTTTTAAAGTAGAGGCCATAAAGAATAAAATACTGGGTGTTGCCATCTTTTATGTCACATGGTACTTGCACAGCAGTTTTTCAAATGCAATTTTAAAAAAAAAATACTTTTTTGAATTGTAATGCACAAAAACACAATCTAATACCCAATTATTTGGTAAAATATAAAAGATGATGTTACACTTAGTAAATAGATACCAAACATGTCACACTTTAAAATTGTGCACACCTGTTCAATGGCGACAAACTACGTAAATGTTTTTATCCATAGGTGACGTTTTAAAGGCCTTTTTAAGTTTAAACAGGAGGTCTGGTTCTAGAATTACTGTCCTCAATCTGACATTCACGGTGATACCTTACATGCATGGTGCAATCGCCTTTATATATGCGTGCAGGACTGATGTGTGCGTTCGCCTTTGCACACAAGCACAGGGGGACAGGGCTCTTTAAATTTTTTTTTAATAATTTTTTTTTTTTTGTTTTGTTTCGTTCTGTTTTTTTTAGATCACATTTATTGTTATCCCAGGAAGTATAAATATCCCATGTGATAGCATTAGGCAGTGACAGGTACTCTTTACTAATGATGGGCTGTATGTTCGAGTCAAACGTAAGTTCAACGCGAACATGGGTTGTTCATGTGTTTGGTGCCCCACAATGCACTGTGCCCTGACAGTGCATTGTGATTGGCCAAAGTATTGCACCTGACCACAGGTCAGGTGCAATGCTTTGGCCAATCACAGGGCATGAAGACATCACAAGGGGGCAGAGGTGATCCCACAGCGCAGCTGTCACACGGCGGGAGCCACCGTCAAGGGTGGCGCGGATTTTTTTTTCTTTCTTCGGGTCGGCGGTGGTGGCAGGCATCATGATTGATGTTGGATCTACTTTTGGGGGACACTTTTCTATTTTATTTTTAATAAAGGACTTGTCAAAGACTGTCTCCTGGTTTTTTTTTACACTACACTTTGTTTTTGTGAATGTGCAACAGTATCATGTACCCCATACTCATTCAAATGGGGGGGGGGGGCTGGCGGCAGGATCTGGTGGCCCTTATTTCAATAAGCCCCCCCCACAGACCCCTACAACTACCTGTCAGGGTTGTGGGGAAGGAGCCCTTGGCCAAGCACCCCCCTCCCATGTTAAGGGCTGGGATTGGTTTGAGGGAGGGGGGTGCTCGTTCATTCCCCCCCCCCCCCTTTTTCCTGACCTTCTGGGCTGCATGCTCGGATAAGGATCTGGTTTGAATTTTGGGGGGTCCCCCATGCCATTTTTTTTTTAAATTGCCGGGCAATGCCGACGATTCTTTTGACATTCAGCTGTCAGCAGGGAACCCCGCTGACAGCTGAACCATGAATGAATGTTTCACTACTAAAATATTGCATTACTTAATAATAAAACTCATGCAGTACTCTAGTAACTGAGCGGTATCTTACCGCATACTCAGATGTGGTAAGATACCGCTCAGTAAATTGTCCCTGTTCGAAGTTCAAGGTCGTACTTGTGGTAGGTTTAAATGTTCAACCGTGAATCAAACAGGGAGGGTGTTCAGCCCATCACTACTCTTTACTAAGAGATCTGGGGTCTATGAGACACCAGATCCCTCCTCTGCCCTTAAATGTATGATCCAATGCTTTTTTCAAACCACTAAGGGTTTGTTTATAATTTCAAAACTGGAAGTGATGAAATGCTTATCCCTTTTAGTTTCCTAGAACCTAGAGATGATCGGAGCCATTATGTTCTTCGATCAGCTGTATGGTCAGCCAGTGGAACCACCAGCTGCACTCTCAGGTTCCCTGATGGGACAGGGGAGCCCGAGAGAGCCACAGAAGACTGCAGGAAAGGAGGCCTTCCTCCCCAATTCTTGTAAAAGCAATCCAGTGGCTAATTTAGCTGCTAGGATTGCTTTTACAAGAAAGCCAACCACCGGCGTAAAAAAAAAATCATACTGGGATGATGCAGGCATTATCCCAGTATAACCACTCAAAGTACAGCAACGTACTGGTACACAAGTTTGCAAGTGGTTATAGTCTCTGTCAAAAGTGGGGAAAACCAGATGTGGACATTCTGGCCTCCAGGTTCGACAACAAGCTAAACTAAATTTGTAGCTAAGATCAGAGATCCTGTAAAATTCACAGTAGATGCTCTGGTGATTCCTTGGACTCAATTTCAACAGGTTTATGCCTTGCCACCAATAAAGATCCTTCCTCGATTGCTGCACAAGATAGAGGAGTAAAGTATTCTGGCAATTCCAAATACACCAAACTGGCTCTGAAGAATGTAGTACATATACTAAAACGTCAAGTGGATGAGCCTTGGCTACCTCCAAACATACAAGAGTTACTGGTCCAAGGCCTCATATTCCATCCTGCTTCTCAGTCACTGGCTTTTTACCATGGCTGTTGAAACTCTATTCTTAACCACTAGCCTACAGGGCACTTATACCCCCTTCCTGCCCAGGCCAATTTCCAGCTTTCAGCGCTGTCACACTTTGAATGACAATTGCGCAGTCATGCAACATTGTACCCATATGAAATTTTTATCATTTTTTTTGAGACAGATAGAGCTTTCTTTTGGTGGTATTTAATCACCTCTGGGGTTTTTATTTTTTCTTAAACCAAAAACCACTGAAAATTTTGAAAAACAAAAAGGTTTTTTTTTAGTTTTTGTTATACAATTTTGTAAATAAGTGATTTTTTTTCTCCTTCACTGATGTGCGCTAATGAGGCTGCAGTGATGGGCACTGATAGGCTGCACTGATGGACACTGATAGGTGGCACTGATGAGGAGGCACTGGTAGATTGCACTGATGGGCATTGACAGGCATCACTGAGGGGCACTGAAAGGCAGCACTGATACATGACACTGATAGGCGGCACTGTTAGGCGGCACTGACTGGCACTGTTAGGCGGCACTGACTGGCACTGTTAGGCGGCACTGACTGGCACTGTTAGGCGGCACTGACTGGCACTGATAGGCGACACTGACTGGCACTGATAGGTGGCACTGATTGGCAGCAGTGATAGGTGGCACTGACTGAAACTGATGGGTGACATTGAAAGGTAGCTCAGATGGGCACTGATATGTGGCATTTATGTGCACTGGTATGCACTGATATGTGGCATTGATGTGGCACTGATGGGCACTGGCACGTGGCACTGATGGGCACTGGCACATGGCACTGATGAGCACTGACAGGTGGCACTTCTGGGGCCACACTGATCATCAGGGCACACTGATCATCAGTGCCCTGATGATCAGTGTAGATGTCTCCTCCGCGGAAAGCCGATTACCGGCTCTCCTCTCGAGCTGTCAGCGTGACAGCTCGATAGGAGAGAAATGCCGATAACCGGCATTTCCGTGTTTACTTGTGATCAGCTGTGATTGAACACAGCTGATCACATGACTGAGCCGACATCTTCGGCTCTCTCCGTAATCCGCTGTGTCCGAGGGACACCGCGGACCGGCGATCGCCACGCTGCGCGCTCCCTGAGCCGCTCATGCGCAGTGAGAATGGTAGGACGTCATATGACGTTTTATCAGAACGAAAGAACCACCTTGCGCCCGTCATTGTACTATATGGCGGGCGCAAGGTGGTTAAAGAATAGGGTAACTCCGACTTGATTATTCCCACTTTGCTCAGAGGGTCCCTCCCCTCTGAATCTTGATCACACCTGTTCAGGGCTTACCTTAAGTGCCTAACAAATTTCTTCTTCGGCCTCTTCCCATTTTGAGCATCTATGCATAGCTTGTTGTGCTGCATTAAGGGCTTGCTCATACTGTATGAGTTGCAGTGCATTTATTTATGTGCATTTTTGATAGTTTTGTGCATGCATTCACTCAGAGCCTTAATATATGCAGACATGAGAGAGATGCTAAATAATAATTCCTCTAGCCTAAGCTTTTAGAAGAATAGATTTGTGTGGCTATACATGTCTCAATATTGTCGAGAAATAGGACAAATTAGACATCGCTTATATCTGGCCAGTGTACTGTGTTTGTTATCTTCTAAGTAGACGCAAGAACGTGGTTCAGAAGTACAAGTGATCTCACACAGATGTTCTAATTTGGAAAGTCAGGGATCTTGTGCTGCAACAGAATTTTGTCCCGAAGATCTGTTTTTCCCACACTTTCATTGACAAAAATACCTCTATATGCCAGTGTTTAGGGTACTTGGCTACAGCAAAGGTACATTTCTTATTATTGTACAAATAAATACATGTATGACAAACCACCTTTATCACCATCACTGTTAACTGTATAAAAGTCCTTAAAAAGGCTAGTTTGCTTCAGCACTGATAGATGGTAATGCTGTAAGGCAGATACCAAATAACCTCATTTGCTGACATTTTCTGTGACCCTCCACACTCTTGGGAGCTTGTGTTCTAGCATAGTTTTCACTTGACTTCCTTGTGCTCTCTATACTTTGCAGATGTCACATATGGCGGTGATTTCAGTATTCAGAAGTCTGCTGAAGTCACATTGTTACTCTACTAGAACCCATCTGGGACCTTTTTATGTTCATATTATTTCCTTCTAGTATCACTTCACTATTTAAAGAGAGAAGGAGAGGGCAAACAATAAAGATTACAGCATCAAAGGATATTTTTTCATGTGCATGTAAGATAAATGTGCTATTGATGGTAAAAGCTACTGATCAAAATGTAATGCTTTTTACCTTTATTGTTGATAGGTGGTTTCTGGCAGATTGATATAAGAATCCTTCTATTGCTGTTGCAATATAATATAACTTAAATTACCTTCCCTTGTATAACAAAGATGGAAGAGAACCAAAATGTAATATATTGCAGCTTACCAACTCTTAAAATGGTGGTTGTTTTAAAGTTTTTTTTGTTTGTTTTTTTCTGTTATTTTTACCTGCCAGTTAATCTGTTATTTTTAAACTTCCTTTTACAGATCAAGCTGTCCAGCAAAAGTGGCAGTTAGAGGGTTGAGACAAACCATTTACTACTGACAGGGTTGCTTACAATGGTCAGCGTTAATTTAACCACTTCCCGTCCGGCCGTTGTATATAAACGGCCGGATGGTGGCAGTGCAGGGTCGGGTGGCCGTCTATAAACGGCCTCCCCGCACCCTGCTTGTGCGCGCTCCTTGGGAGCGTGCAGCACCACGATCCAGTGCCCGCTGTGTCCTCCGGACACAGTGAAACACCGATCGTCGGACGGGACCTCTGTACGAGGTCCCGATCATGTGATCACTGATTGGCCAATCAGTGATCACATGCAAAGTAGTAAGCAAGATGTCACTTGTGACATCATTGCTTACTACGTGTGAAATCTGTGAATGATCACAGAGGTCACATGGTACAAGACTATTCACAAAAGCCTTGTACCATGTGACAAGCTGTGACCAATCACAGCTCACTCAGTACTTCTCAATGAGTGCAAGAATGCACACAGAGAGAAAGAGAAATGATTGCTTTTACATCCTATATGGGTGTAAAAGCAATCAGTGTAAAAAAATAAAAAAAATCTTCATCACCCCCCACAAGTAGTACAGTGTCACCATGGTGACACTGTACTGCTAGGGTGACAGTATGTAAAAAAAAAAAATAATAAAAAATAATAATATAAAAAAATAAAATAAAAATGTAAAAAAAAATGTTTAAAAATTATAATTTTTGCTTATAAACTAATTTGGATTTTTTTTTTTTTTACTAAAAATATAACGGAATAAATTTTGGCTAAGATTTATGATGAAATATTTATTTGCAAAATTTTATAAAAAAAACACTTTTTTTCAAAATTTTTGGACATTTCATTTACATAGCAAAAAAAATACAAATCCCAGTGGTGAATAAATACCACCAAAATAAAGCTTTATCTGTCTCAAAAAAATGGTAAAAAATTCATTTGGGTACAGTGTTGCATGACCGCGCAATTGTCATTCAAAGTGTGATAGCGCTAAAAGCTGAAAATTGCCCTGGTCAGGAAGGGGGTAAAAGTGTCCGGTCTGGAAGTGGTTAATAGGGAAAAAATGTTGCTGTAACTGTGTTAGTTGGAGTTCAGCTTTAATTCGTTAGTCAAGTCCATCCCATTCCTATAGTGTATCTTATACTATCCCCCTCCCCACATTGTCAATACTGTTGTTCCAGGGTGTCTCCATTGCTCCTCCATCCAAAGTGGAGACAGGAAGTGTTACTGGCCAAATCACCAGGTGAAAATAAATGGGGAAAAAAGCCTAAAAACAAAATAATGAATTCAACCATCACATTAAGGCCACATGCATATAAGCACTTTAATAGTATATAAAAAGTGCAGCGCTAATACAAAATTAGATAAAAGTATATATACATGTACAAATTCATGCAATATAAAGTGTCTTCGTGCATACAGATATACGCCACTATACTGTGGCTAATAGGACGTGAGGAAGGATTGTTACATCCAAAGGTGAGTTCAGCGTGAGGATGTGAACCAAGTCTCAAACAATCTATAGCTCTCCAGACGACACCGACTGTGTGCACGGTGAAACAATGGGGGTACAAATCGCACACTCACCAGATGCGCAACCTTTGTGCGCTTTTCTATAACATAAGGACCTCCAATCATTCAACTAGGGTCTGGTCAAATCTGGTCAGGTCCCCTTCTTTCTCCAGAACCTTGCGATCAGCCTTCTCCTTAAGTGATCACCACTCTCCGAATAAACCTGGCTCCCGCAGGAGCTCAGAAAAAAGCAAAGGAGGCCAATAGTGCAGTATGTCTATGGGTGCATTTATTCCCACATACAAACAAAGGGTACAAGGTATGGAGTAGAATAAAGATACTGACCCAGTATATAGTTGCCGCCGGGACCTCTCGTGGTGCCGGCGGTGATAGCGTCGAACAGCTGAAGCCTGAAACTGACGCGTTTCGAGCGACAGCTCTTAGTCAAAGGGTTTTTGGCTATCCTAGGATATCTTAGTTTTGCTGGGAATGTCCCCAGTGCAACCCCATCCACTCTGTGGGACTCTGGTTTTTTTGCTTGTGTCCTGAGGTAATGGACTTCTCCTGTAGAGAACTTTTTTTAAGCCATTCTTATTTTTTCTTCCCTACTTCGGCTGACACGTTGTCCAAAATCCAGCTGCTTATTGCCTCAGGGCTCATTAGCAATTTCCAGAACAGTTACCTTTGATGTACATCTTGAGAACCATACCTGGGCCCTGCACCAGCCTTTAATGTTTGCTTCACTGGATCCTAGGATTGGCACCCACTTTGGCATGTGATGCAACAAGTTTAGTTAGCCACGTGGTGAAACATAGGTCCAGGGCTGTGGTCCATTCCTATGGCATCCAGAGTCCTGCTTTTTACATGGGGATGCTATTCACATTAGTATGTTATTCCCTTCTGTAGAAATCCCTACTTCGTTAGTGGTAGATAAGGTTTTTGCAACGTATAACATTTACCTATTAAGAATGCGCCAAATATTTTTAATTGCTGAAAGGTTGATCAGCAGGCAGGCCAGTTAAGTACCCAGACACTTCTACTACAAATCTGTGCTGTTGTCATAGATGCAGATTGTGGTTTAGCATTGTCCTGCTGCAGTATGCAAAGCCTTCCCTAAAAAAGACATCTGGATGGGAAGCATATGTTGATCACTGATAACAAGCCTGAAAGTCCCTCTCCTCTTTAGTCTGGAGGACTTGGCTCCAATGGTTGCCAAAAATAAGGTCAAATTTGATTCTGACTACAGAACAGTTTTTCTATTGGCAATAGACCATTTTAAATGAGATTTGGCCCAGAGAAGATGGTGGCATTTTTAGATCATGTTCAGACTTCTTTGCATGATGCACTTTATCTTCCATTTTAGGATGGAATGGTGAACTGTATTCACAGTGGGTGATTTCTGGAAGTATACCTGAGCCCATGCAGTTATGATCATCACAAAATTATGCTTGGTTTTAATGCATTGCTGTCTGAGTGCCGAAAGATCATGGACATCCAATATTATGATTCAGCCATGTCCCTTTTTGTCTGGAGATTTCTCCAGATTCTCTGAATCTTTTGATGACACGTGTATTATGCACTGTAGATAATATCGATATAAAGTCTTTGCAATTTTATGTTGAGGAACATTATTCTGAAATTGCCAATTTTTAGATGCAGCTTTTCACAGATTGATGAACCTCTGCCCATCTTTACTTCTGAGACACTCTATCTCTCTGTGTAGCTCCTTTTTATACCTGAGCATTTTACTGACCTGTTGCCAATCAACCTAATTAGTTGCAAAATGTGCTTACAGCTCTTCTTTGTTAGTATTACTTACTTTGCTATCTTTTTGTTGCCCTGTTCCAACTTGTGTTGCTACCATCAATTTCAAAATCAGTTTGGTTTTTTTTTCTTAAAATGGTACATTTTCTCGGTTTAAACTTTTGATATGTTTTCCATTTTCTATTATGAATAAAATATGGGTTTATGAGATTTGCA